CTGAAAAGGAGAGGATGCTTCCTCTGGATTTTAAATCAGAGGGCAGCAATGAAAACAGCCCAATTATTTTCCGTTCCAAGATAAGTGATGTGCAAAAAGGCAACCCAGATTATCATCGCCGACACCTCGTGTTTGAGGTAGTCCTTAAATGTCGACGTTCTTGCTTTGCAAATCCTTCTTGCAGGGGTTTGCAAGAGCGGCCCCAGCCTCTGCTTCTGTCGGAGCAGGGCTCTGTCACTGCGGAGAAGGTTGCGAGCCCAAACACGTCCTCAGCAGCAAACGTTGCCCCTTTTTAAAGAGGACAGGCGAGTAGATTTATAGAGGGGAGCATCCTTGAAGCGTGAACTGGCTGGTGTTTCTCAGCCGGTGGATTTGGAGCCCGAGGAGCTGAAGGTATCGGTACTCTTTGGAGGAGGAGGTGGTAGCGGATGCTCTTGCACTTGCAGGGGAGTTTGGAGAAGTGTATAAAGGACGCCTGAAGTTGCCCGGCAAGCGGGAGATCTACGTGGCCATCAAAACGCTCAAAGCCGGCTACTCCGAGAAGCAGCGCCGGGATTTCCTGAGCGAGGCCAGCATCATGGGGCAGTTTGACCACCCCAACATCATTCGGCTGGAAGGGGTGGTGACCAAAAGCCGACCGGTCATGATCATCACGGAATTCATGGAGAACGGGGCCCTGGACTCGTTCCTGCGGGTAAGGCGAGGTGGGGCCGGGTGGGCTACTGTTCGGCCGTGGGATTCGGGGATGAGGTGGTGGCATCCCGTCCTGTAAATCCCAGTCTGTTTCCTTAGCTGGGGAGCTGGTTGCGGCGTGCTGTACGCCCCCAAACCGCGTGCGTTTTGGTGCTGGCGTACCTCTGCTTCAATCCCGCGGGGCAGGGCAGCTGGCTGGTCCTCTGGGGAGGTGCAGCACCCTCCCAAGGTCGGGGGTGAGCGGCTCTGGTGGGGTCTGCGTGCTCACCCCCGGTGCCTGCTCTTTCCCACCGCAGCAAAACGACGGGCAGTTCACGGTGATCCAGCTGGTGGGGATGCTCAGAGGAATTGCTGCCGGCATGAAGTACCTCGCCGAGATGAATTACGTGCACCGAGATCTGGCCGCCAGGAACATCCTGGTCAACAGCAACCTGGTGTGCAAAGTGTCGGACTTCGGCCTCTCGCGCTACTTGCAGGACGATACGTCCGACCCCACCTACACCAGCTCCTTGGTACGTACCTCTCGCAAGATTTTGTTTTGCTCAGCGCCCCCCTCCCCCTGCCTGCCCTGCGCCCGCTGCCGGCTCCCA